AGTAATTGATTACATAGCTGTAATTATCTATCAATTACAGTTGTAATCTATCACTGTAATCAACGGCCAACTCTGGTAAATAGTTGTTATAATCATAAACTGAAGAAAGAAAGACATATTTGTAAATTTTAATTACTTCTCCAGGTCATCATAGGTATGTTTAAATGGTATAGGCAGGGGTCTGTCCAGACATTTTGTGAAAGGTCCGTTTTTGTAAAATTGTGAAAAAATGACTCGTAATTTGTGAATATAAAATAAACGTTAAGTCACATTCTTTCAACCAGGGTCCGCTTTTGTGAATTGTTGCAAATGGGGTCCGTTATTGCAAATAAAACTTTTTCAATGAGTTTTTAAATTGTAAAGACATACAAGATTATGCTCAACACTATAAAATTGTAATTAAAAAAATTAAATTTTAAAAAATAAGCAGCAATTGCAGCTACTAAATTAGCGATGCAACATATAAATATTTGGTATTCGGCCTATACTGCTGAACGCAGAATACTCATTTCGGACGAATAAAGGAAGAAGCGTCTGCCGAAGACAAAATTTAATTCGTCTACATCTGTCTTTCTTCCCCCCCTTCCTGAGAAGGGTTTATTCGATTAACAAAACTATAATGAAGATAAACAAATTTGTGAAGGGTCCGATTAAAAGATAATTTATTTTGTGAAGGGTCCGTTTTTTAGTTAAAATATTTTGTGAAGGGTCCGTTTTTTAGTTAAAATATTTTGTGAAGGGTCCGTTAACGGACCCAAATTTCTTCTAAACAGACCCCTGATAGGTATGTGTAAAATTTTAAGTATAGTTTAAGTAAACTAAGAAATATTGAGAAAAAGGAAGAAAAAAAACCTTGTTTAAATTTTTTTCAATTTAAACTTTTTCTTTCTTTTTTAAACTCAAGAAATTTTCCGGAGCTTTAACTTGGGGCTCACAATTACCCCTGTTTATGCAATAGGTTGAGTTTAATGCTTTATAAATAAAAGAGAATTGACAATGATTTCATCCTATTGTTATGTATTCTCTTTTATAAATATTTTTCCATTCTTCTTCAATCAAATAATTAATTTTAAAGTTGTTAAAATAACAATGCAGTTAATTTGTTTTAAAAAAGAAATTCTAAAAAAAATTCAGAATTTTTTTAAAATTTATAAATTGTTTTGATATTTGAAGAATCATTGCAGTTTTTGAAGTTCTGTTTTTTTTTATTTTTATCGCATAAGTTAAAAAAGAATCCAGTTATTTAATTTTTATGGATATCAAGATTATGACAGTTTGTCTAAAAATGCCACAAATGAATAAAATTGTACATCTTTTTATAACTCTATTATTAAGTGACAGAAAGCAAATTTGATAAGTAAAAATATAAATTTTTTGAAAGAATTTATGGATTAAGATTAATATAAGGAATAAGCTTAATTTAGGGAAAAAATGCATTTTTCTCAGAGTTGGCATGATTTAGGACAGAATGGATTAATCCACGGTTTAAACTGTCTTGTCCAAAACCCCTTGCCCTAAACTGTCCAAAACCCTTTTATTAAAATTGTCGCAATTTAAAAGACATATTGTGAAAAATAAAATGTTAATTTTTAAACAAGAAACAAAATGAAGACAAGTTTTTGTTTTATTTAAAAAGTTGATTATTATTTTTTTTTATTGTTTTATTTCCCTGTGGCATAATCACGGCGACAATGTCGCAGAACGTTAGAGTTCTTGCAGAAAGATTTTTGTTTTGAAAAGTAAAAAAAAGAAAAATAATAATTTTATTTACTTTTTGACTGAAATTTACCTGTTATATTTGAATAATGCATTGAGATAATCACTTTTTGACGCGCTCAATATACGATGATAGTATCGCAAATTGATGTATTGTTTCGATTGTATTTTCGTCAGTTATTGATCTTGATCTTCACGTCGATTTTAAATATCCTGATAAACAATATGGAAAATTCGAATCGTGTATTTGAGTATTTACTTTTTAAGGTAATAATTTTGTCAAATTTTATCGGTTATCGCTATTGATTTCTCCATAGTTTTTAAATCAGATATTTTTTATACAACTGCCAAATCAAGAAACGAAACACCAATTTGAGGTGTCCAATTCGCAAGATTTTGTCGATCTTTTTTTCCGCCAAGTTCTACTATGGATTTAATGATTTATAATTTTTTTTATTGTGCTGATTAGTTAAAAAAGGCGAAGGAAATAATTTCTGCATCCTCTCCCCCTCCCAACAAAATGCGAAAATGTTATCTATAATATTAGAATAAACATTACATGTTCAATTGAGAAAAATTATCTATAGTTTTTTTCTTGTCAACACAGCGCTTCGTTATTTTAAATTAGTAACATACATGTTTATTATTATTAAAAGTATCTTGCAGAAAGATATTAGTCCTGTATAATTTATTATATTATAATATATTATATATTTATATATATTATATTATAGTTTCCTTATGCATAATTTATCAGTATTAAAAGCATATTTATTCTTATTTAAAGGATAAAGTATTCAATTTTGTTATTCAATGAATTGTGGAAATTCAAAACTTATATTTTCCTTTAATAAGTTAAGGCAAATTGTATTAAAAAAATCAAATATTTATTAATGTATGAATTATGTGCACAATGGTTACACATTTCAGAATTTTTACCTTTTATCAGAGTTCACGGTTTGGACAGTTTAAGAGAGTAAAACCCACATGTCCTGTCCAAAACCAATTTAGGATGTCTAAAACACCAACCCTGATTTTTCTGTATTTGAGGGAAAAAATTTATGCAGAGAAAATTCCCCCCCCCCTCTCATATAGAAATAATCTAGATAGCCTGGCAAAAAGCTTTTTTATCACATGACCAGAAAGTGACAGATTTAAATCTATCTCTTTTATTTTGTAACTAAGCCATAAATGGAGACATTTATTTTTAAGCTTTTACTTGCTTGCAGTTTTGTCAGCTACCAAATGATAAATTTTTTAATAAGGCGTTTTTTATTATTTTTACATTAAAGGTTATTATTATTTATTAAAGATTATTATTATTGATTGTTATTTATTAAAGATTATTATTTTTATAACGGTTGCAATTTAAAAATTTTAGGTAAACTATGTAATTAACTATGTGAAAATAATTTTAGATAATTACTGTATGAAAATAATGTATCCACGTCATCTAATGAATGTAATGTAATAAGTGTTGTTTTTAATATTAATTACTATTAGAAATAAGCAAAAACATCAAAACTATGCATAAACCCATATATTAAATGTGATACATCTTAAATGAAGCCACGTTAACAGAACATTACTGTGTTATGTATTACATCAAAGCATTTTAAGTTATAATTTTTAATAACATTTAAGATTTTATTTTGTTCCAGGAAATGCAAGTGATCGTGCCTGTGTTGTAGAAGTAGACAATTATCACCAATATAGTACAAATAGTCTTGATCGACAGGCTTTTTCAATACCTGTATTTGGCTTGCTTGAGTCACCATTACAGTCTTTTTCATTGTCTCAAGATGGTCCTTTATTATCTCAAAAGTCAATGAATCATTCACAAGCTCATGAAATGAGAATGAATAATAATAAATCACCTAGTTGCCAATTTGATCGTCTTACGGTTAGAGCTAGACCAGATCCTGTGGGGTTTGAGAGCAATTGCAGTAGTTTTAGTACTGATAATTTAGAGCAAAATAAGTTGTCAATGACACAAAATAGTTTACAGAACCTGATGCAGTATAATCAAGATTCTGCCCTCTGTTCTAAAAGTAATAAAAATGCTGCTAGAATCAGATTGTGTAATATTAATAGTTTAAATAAAGATTTATATGATTCTACAAAAAATTCAGTATTGATTGAATCTAATCCAAATAAATTGAGTCCTAAAGTATATGGGTTCAATTATTCTTTGAAATCTGGTGATGAGATGGGGTTTTGCAATACATCTGCAGATTGGGAATGTACTTCTTGTAGCACTGAAGAATTGCAAGTTCAATCCAGGCATTTAATGTTTCATGAAGCTCAAGATACGACAGAGCAAGAAGAAGATAGTAGTCAAGATGTTCATCCTCCTACTCAAGAAGAAGATTCTGAATCAGAAATTCTTGCGGTATGTGATTCTATGATTTAACTCTCCTTAATTCTTAACTTGAACAATGTTTTAGATAAAATTTGCTTGTTACTCAGTGAAAAAATCTTGGTTATTCTATGAAGTCGATTGACCCAATATTCGCATCAAACAATTTAATAACGCATTTTGTTTGGACTAAGCCGAAGAGACATTCTTGCTAGTTACATTGTATCATTATTAAATTAAGACTAAATTTGTTTAACTTATAAAATCTTTTTTAATACATAATCTTATCTTTGTTTCTTTTTTTAATTTGATTGAATAGAAAAACAATCACTGAGATTAAATTGACAGTCACTGAAAGAGAAAATGAAGCAGGGCTCTTTTATATAGAAACTCCTTCACCCCTTTGTGTGATATCTCATTTTAAGAAAGATTTATTACATCAAGATTTTAAGGGTTTATTCAATAAAAATTTTATTTTTCTTTTTATAATTTTTTTTATTTATTTATCTATACTTATGTTTTTTATTTATTTATCTTAATTATATTTTATTACCTTTACCTTAAAAAGCTATTAATTTATAGGTTATCGTTAAAATTGGATATTTATGCATTCACAAAATAATGTCCGTGCACATTTTGGGGGTTCGATTATAGACTGATGATTTTTCTTTTTAACCCGTGAAACAATTGGTACTGAAATTTTAGTATATGCCAATCCTATCGTTTCTATATGATTAGGTTGTAACTGTTATTTATGATTTAGTGGAATGATTCACAAACGATTCAACTTGGTTAAATAAATAATATATTAAGCAAAGAAATTACACATTACATACTGCAATACATTTCGCCGTTCTATAAAAAACAAACGACAACAAAAAAACTGTTGCCACACGGAAATGTAATCATACAAATAATAAATAATTATAACACCCCCCCTTGATTAGATTTCCCTTAGTGCTATACTAAGTTTTTGGTTGTGGAAAGACTTTCTTTGCACACTTTTGGTGAACATGTCTGCAACATTTAACCCAGAAGGTACATAAATAAACGCCAAT